GACTCAGATAAGAACAAAATTGCTGCTGTCATTAAACTCATAGAAAAAAGGTGTCACGGCTTAACCTGCCAGTTTCTTGTATGGTGCAAGCCTGCTACAAATATAACAAAATGCTACCACCATGGGAAGATCCCTTTTTCTGTGCTAGTTTTAGAAATGAAAATTGTGGCCTGCCTTAGCGTGCAATTGCCGTCATGTATTTAGGCTGTCCTCATTACAATGTTTATTTGCAATATACCCTCCAGTGCAGCTGAGGAATTTTATTACTACCTGATGAGCTAACTTTATTCTGAGCAATTTAACAGTTACTTAATTTTCTTTTTTTAAAAGAGGATTCACAAAAGAGCACTTACTTGCAGCCAGGAATGGTTGATGCTGATATTGAGTCCGTGATAAAGACAGGAGATATATACTAACACAAAAAAAGAGTGAACATGCAACCTGGTAGAGTGGCCTTCTGGTATGGCACTAACAATCTCACTGATCCAGTATCTATTAGAGTTGGTAGAAGTATTAATAACATTGACAATGAACAGGTCTTCTATCAAGAGGCACACTGTGTATTTGAAGTGCAGCCCATTGTGGCCTTAGATGAATGAACAACAGTCACAGGGTGCAAAACTTTCCTTTCTTCTCACACTCAGAAGACAGATATTTTTCAGGGTCCCAAGACTTCAAAAGACTTTGGAACATTCTTCTTCTTTGAAACTGAATCCCAGTAGGCCAGGTGAACCATCTGCCTTAGCTTTGAGAGGATGAAACCAGTGATAAAAACAAACAACACACATAATATATATAGCACCTATAGCAACTGTACCCTCTCAACCCACCAAAGAATTGTCTGTTCCCAGTGACAGTGCAAAACCTGTGGCACAGCAATTCATTATGTGAAGATGAGAGCCATCTAATCTGCAAGAATAACAACTGAATATGCCAATTAAAAACCCAAACCATCTGGCTCTTCAGCAATACTTGCTGTATCTCCATTTGGAGTGATAAATTAAAAGCTGTTTTCTATGTGCACATTAAGGCCAAACATATTTTCTTCAAAAATATCTGCTGTCTTAGCCATTCATTAGGTCAAAAAGGAATTTCTGCTCTTGTTTTAGTTACTGTTCTGCACCCACCACATTCTTTAAAGGCATCACCTCACACTCATGCATAATACCATGTGAAATGTAAGTGTTTGCTTTACATAGGGATTTATATCAAGACTGTCTCCAGTTTTCTTCAGTGCAGATTTTCTTTCCCTGCAGTTTACAATAAAAGTGGGTAGGTTTTGATGTTGAAATCTGTTTTATACCCATTCTGCTGCTTTCTTTGTTAGTACCGTATTTATTTGAATACAAGGTGAAGTATTCTCTCCCCAGTCAGTACGGGGGGAAGAAACCCCTGATCTTACATTCACATACAAGGAAGCCTCTTAAATACATTGTTTATCATAAAAGAGCTGCCAAAAGCAGCATGTGCTCAGAAATGGAAACCAGCTATGAAGGTGATTAAATGCAGCCAACAATGAGCATAACTAAAACACATGGCCCATACTGGGCAAACATACTGCTGGGAACCTACCACAAGGATAGGTTAGTGCAGCCTGTCTGAATAAGAAATATAGTAATGCTCACTGTGTAGAGACAGCACTGCAGTATCCCCACACTTCGAAATAGCGGTGGGGACACTTGAACTAAAGCTTGTTTGATCACAGTCTGGGACCCTCTCCTGTCCCCTTAGCTCCGTCTCCAGCACATACATATGATGATTGTGCCAGGCTTTGCCAACACCTCCCACCTTTCATTCTGGTCCAGCAGTGCTTGGCCCCATGCTCACAGGTGTCGGGTAACCAGTCCCTCCATCCCAGTTCCCCAGCTTCTTCTCCCTCTCCCATGGCCCGGGGGGAGCTGAGGGAAATCATGTCCCCTTATCAACTGTTTGTCTCAGTCTCTGCCAGACAGGGCTGTCCTTAAGGGCCAGGTGAATCAGGCAACTGCTTCAGGCCCCACGCGTTGAGGGGCCCTGCAGAGCCGGGCTGGCTTTGCATCTGGCCGCTCACCATCCCCTCCACGCTGCCACGTCCAGGCCCTGCACAGGCTCATTTGCCCCAGGCCCCGCACGCTGCTCCAGCTAGGGAACAGAGGGGCAGGGCCAACCTTGCTCTCTGGAGTAGACAGCACAGCACAGCCTAGCCCAGGGCTGTTCCAGACATCTTGGGATGCTGGGGGACTGTGATTTAACTTGAACCAGGAAGGGGTCTGGAACAGAAATTTCATAAACCAGTTTGACCTAAATCAGTTCAGTCTGATACTACATTCAACCAGGTTTATCTTAAACCAGTTTCAACTGTTTTGAAACTGGTTTATGTGCACTGAGCTTCTGTTCTGTTACAGGTTTAAACCAGTTCTGTGTAACTTCTGATAATTTAAACCAGTTTATGTGTAACTTCTGTCCCTAGCATTTAGATCAAGCTCTGATTTCACAAAATCCATCAACATAGCCTACTGTTCTGAGCTGTTTAGAGTACACCTTTAACACGATGTTAACCATGTTCCTTCTGCTTTTTTTTTTTTCAGGTTCTATCCACTATGTCATGTCTCTGCAAATTGCAGTTCAGTAAAATGATTCCTTGCTCCAGACCTCCAAATGTGACCATCTCAGCTTGTTCAAAAGTCTTTGGACTGTCACCAGTTTTCTGTGCTACAGGACAAGTGGAGTTCAATGGCTTGAGATATATGGTTGCCAATATTTAATGAGATGGTCCTCAAAATAAAATGAAGGCATGCAACTTGTAAGTTCTCAGTAGCAACACACATGCTGGAATTTTCCTTTCTTTTTCCCTAGTCATTTAGGAGTATCATATAACTAATATGTTAAAAAATAAAAGATAAACAGCGGTTGTATCCATGAGGTAAATTATTTATCATGAAGTATTTGTCACAGTTTTTCTACTGAAATTTTTATTGCCTTCACATATAAGTATTTTCAGATCCAAAATACTGAAAATCATATCAAAACAAAACTGAAGACAAAAATCTTTAAGATAGAAAATTTGCATGAATAGTAAGTTTTCCTGATGTATGTTTGTCCAATGAATACAGCATAGTCCATTTCTGTATTTTCGTTCTGGTTTCCAGATTCAGTCATGGCAAAACTGTTTTTTGTTTCTTTCTGGGGGTTTTCTTTTATAGCAGGTAGATGCCTACTGACCCACACCATCCAAACATTTTCTTTTTTTATTAAAAGCCTAACAAAAGTCTTCAGTTATATTTCAGAGTATATAATTGATTACAGGGATGTACTTGGTAGCTGTGTTGACCTAAGACAAAAAAAAGTGCAAAACTCTAAAACTCTCATTTCAGAGATGATACCTTTTATTAGGCCAAATATGAAATTGCAAAAAAATATTAATTATTAACATAATTATTTTGCAATTTCTTAGTTGGTCTTATAAAAGGTATCATAAATGATTACAGCATTCATTAGTTCCTGATTATAGGTAATCAAATGTTTCTTCCCTTAACCTACCAAGCAGATTTGTAAAACACCTCATGGTATTTCTTTATGGTATACACCAGGTTGATCATGGCCCCTTTTAATGCCAGCTTTAAAGCTTCACTCTAACAGATGGACAAGTGACCTTGGGAGAAGAGCATTCCTCCAGTGCACCCTCATCATAGGTGGGCAAAATCCTCCCCACCTATGACCAGGTGCAGGGTCATATTTTGCCTACCTTTCTCCTAAGAGATCCGAGTCAAGGGGAGATTTTAAATCCAATTACATTTCCAAATGCAAGACCCATCTGTGCCCCATATTTCCTACAGAATAAAATCTTCTTCTACCTCCTTCTCCCCAGCTAGCAGAAGATGGGAAAAGGCAGTTGAATCATGTGCCAATGAACCATCTGCTTATTTTTCTTGTAAAGATGCTTTTCTGTGATGATTGTTCTATTCACCTAGATACATTGATAACCTTTACACAAAACAGCTAACCTGAAATTGTTTTCAGAGTAGAATTTAATTTTCAATACACTGCATCCCTGCTCTGTATAATTTCAGTTCACGTTGTGGACATGCAGATGCCTCCACATAGCTTGAAAATAGCCTAAAGTATGTAGGATGGTGGAAATGTCAAAATATCAATTTTGAATTATGCAAACAATTGTGTGTGGGGTGAATTTGCATGTGTGCACTTTTAGATTGTGTAACTTTTGTGATGTGTTTTTATAGGAGGATATTTTTTGTCCCAAGTGTTCTTATTATTGGGCTTTATTTAGCCTAATTAGCATTAACCACATTGCTTATCTGACCACTGTAAGAATGTGTATGTGCGCCTACTGATTTTAAAAAAATTTTTGACAATACATCAATCCCTGGAAAAGTCAGGAAACAACTAAGAAAGAACATATCTGCTATATAGGAAGGATGTTTAAAAATCATGCTCTCGGAGTCGTGTTCTTAGAAAATCTAAAAAAACCCACCGTAACAGATGGAAGATAATTAACACTTTATATTGAAAGCTGGTCAATATAACTCTTTTTTTTTGTGCCAAACGTAGGTAGGGCTCTTAAACGAGCATTTTTAATTAGTTCTTTACTACCAATATTGGACCCTAATTTGTCCCCCTTGAAGCCACTGGCAAAAGATCCCATTGGCATCTGTGAGAGTAGGTTTGAGTCTATGAGTAATAATAACGGTGGGTAAACTTCTGTAAAACTCATTCTCCCAGTCAGAAAATGCAACCCTGATAAAGCAAGTTATAAGCAAATCAATGGAGATTTTTTTTAATCCCTTTTACTCATGTTACATTGACTCACCTAAGATAATGAAAGGTGAAAATGAAGTGTTTAATTTTCCTGCAGATAAATGGAAGTCAAGTACTTGCTAACAGCAGATAATATGCAAAGCTCCAGGGTCTTTAGAATTTGCTTTTTGGTTAAAATTGTATGCACCAAATCTTTCTTCAATTTTATGTACAGGATAGCTTGCCCCTCATTTGACCAGGTCAGAGAGCAGGCAGGGAAGTGCAAATAAATGTAGGGTGAGAGAAAAGGAAGAAGTGGATGCTGACAATTCCATCAGGACCAGATTGATTCAGTAGAATCATAAAATCACAGAAAATTAGGGTATAAGGGACCCCTGGAGGTCTAGTCCAACCCCTAAGGATGGAGATTCCACCACCTCTCTGGGTGAGCTGTTCCAGTGTTTTACTACCCTCCTAGTGAGAAAGTTCTTCCTAATATCTAATCTAAACTTCCTTTGCTGCAACTTCAGACCTTTGCTCCTTGTTCTGCCATCTGCCACCACTGAGAACAGTCTAGCTCCAAATGTTCATGCTCATGAGCTCCCTGCCTATACTGGGCTTCCTCAAGATGGAGCATTCCAACTTTGTTCAATGTGGAGGCTGTGTGAGGGGCTACATTAACTCCTGGGGCAGCCTGAAGTTTTGAGAGGATGAAAGCAGAGGGCCTCAATATGAACCCTTCAAATAAAAATGATTTGTGGGGAGCTTAATTGCTCTATCCCACTTTGTGTCCTAGAAGAAATCTACTTTATTAGGTCAGAGTCCAAGTTTTTACCAACTCTGTAGACAGGGGGAGATGGTTAGCATCCAAATAACTAAGCCAGGCTATACCTATTCCCAGTAAGACATGACAGGAAGAAATGTCTTTAACATTACTCCATTTTGCCCCAGTCATCACATTTGCTAGGTGGAATATTTGTACAGGCAGTCCTCGACTTACACCATTTGAGTTACGATGAACGGCACTTAAGCAATTTATACATTGACACCTTGTTTCAACCTTCAGACGTGGGTTTTGACTTTACAGCACTGGATACAGCTGCACCCAGCTGGTAAGTCTGGTGTGGTGGAAGGGGAGGGTGAAGGGAAAGGGAATGTGAGGGCAGATCAAGGCCCCCCATGGTTAGGGAGGGGCTGGGACTGGGGCTTGGGCAAGTTGCTTGTCTGACGGCTCACCTAGTGACTCCCATCACTCATTCAGGAGGGCACATGGTGGGGCGTATGCCTTGTACCTGCGCGGGACGGGCGGGCTGGGCCGGGACTGCATTAGGTTGCACTGGGAGTGGGGGCTATGCCCTCCTGTCGCTTGCACAGCCAGGGTGGGGTGGGCGCGGAATGGGGCCACTGTGCTGCCTCTGGACAAGCAGCGCACAGTGGCAGCCCCCCCCCCCCTGCCAAACAAGCCATGGCTCCATCCTGCACCCACCCTGCCCCAGGTGGGCAAGCAGTGGCAGGGCATGGGGGAACCTGTGCTCGCAGATCAGGGCAGGATGGATAGAGCTGGGGCAGAGCTGGGCTGTGCTCCAGGTGGGTGGTGGGACCTATGGGGGAGCTATGCCCTCCCCATAGGCTCTACTCCGCCGCCTGCTCTGTGCAGCCCCACTGCCCACCCTGATCTGGGGGCACATGTCCCCCTCATGCTCCTCTGATGCTCACCCAGCTGGGGCAGGGCAGGTGTGGGACAGAGCCGTAGCTTGTCAGGGGGGCAGGGGCAGCTCCCACTGCTGCATGTTGCTTGTCCAGAGGCAGCGCAGCGGCCCTGTTCTGCGCCCATCCTGCCCCAGCTGGGTGAGTGGCCAGAAGACATAGCCCCCACTCTGAGCACAGCCTGGTGCAGCCCCAGCCCCACCCACCCTGCCCTACCCTGCACAGATCTGGGGGCACAAGCCCCACCCCATGCCTTTGCAGGTAAGTGGCAGGAGCCACCAGAGAAGCAACTTGCCCAAGCCCCTCCCTCACCACGGGGGACCTTGATCTGCCCCCTGCACCCCTTTCCTTCCTCCTCCCCTTTTACCACAGACTTACCAGCTGGACGCAGGTAAAGGAACCAATCCCCCACTTATAACATTGTTCCTATGGGAAAATCGGTTTCAAGTTATGATGTTTCAACTTAAGACACGGTTTTCAGGAACCAATTGCATTGTAAGTCTAAGGGCTGCCTGTACTCTGCTTCTACAATGGTTGCTATAGAGGTGTCTCCTGTTTACCTAGAAAGAGGCTGCAGAGAACTTTGAGGGTACTCACAGAATGTCAAGTTTTTGCCTTGTGTCTGTACAACCCAACCACTGTATCCATACAACAGTGTTTCTGGATCTCAGTTCCAGCATTATCTCCTCTTT